TGTATGTGAACCAACCCTAAAAATGCGCGGTCTAAAATTGACAGGGTGACAGATCAAGGCGAGTTCAGCTACAGTCCATTTCAAAACTATAGACGCGTACCTAGGCAAAAACCGTTCTGCCAGCATCTATACCACATAAAATCTGTGATCACTTTGTGCATAAATTTTTCCAAACTGGGCGTCTGTTATCCAATCCTTTAGAAACTATAATTGTGGAGCGATCCTGAGCAATATTCCGAAAATTATTCTCAAAAGGTTCCCGCCAAATTTGAAATATTTCAAAAACCCTACGCGTCTATAGTTTTGAAATGCACTGTAGTAGTAGCCGAGGCACGTGTTTCCTTGCAGGACCGTTGACATGTACATTTTTATCTAGAGGTCTATTCATGGACATGTACTTGTTATGATTCTTTTCTATTTTATTCTTTTTACCAGGCGTGGGCCATCCCCTGGACTATCAAAGTGGGTGCCTTATTATTTTTCTGAGTGGAATAAAGAGTTTCGTAATAGCAAAAAAAAAAGAAAAAGTTCAGCCCGGGTTGAAAGTCTGTACGATAGAAAGTACCGTAAAGTACCGTTGATCCGCCCCTACGCCATGTCGCTTCCCAGCTGGGTTTTCGGCAGGGGGCGGGAATTAGATCAAGGCTGTCAAGTGCAGTACGATGTACAACAACGTAGAGGATCAGACTCAATGTGCTGGATTGTGCACATTTTGATCCTGGATTGGCAAGTATTGTGTACAGCAGTGCATGCGTCGGTTCAACATCGTATTTCGTTGTATACGCCGAAGTCGCTTCACAAGGAGAAAATCGACAGGGGGGCGCCGGGCGGGAATTAGAGAGGGGGCGGATCAACGGTACTTTACGGTAAGAGCGTTTATATGCCGGCAAAAGTCCGTCTTTGTGGTCCACTTCACAACAATAACACACACAGAAGTCTCTGCTGTGAGCACGGTGGCTCGGCAATGGCACCGACTGTTGGACAACAGGCGTTTCATTATACTCCTTGCACTTCACCCTCTCTGAGTCCCGCATTGTTATAATACAAACTGCACCAACGAAAAGCCACTGCGAAGTGACAGGAATGCGGTCCAGCACAACATTTTTGCGGACGCAAAAAGTTGTGGGGAAATCCCAAAATCGGTGCGATTTTGCATGAGCCCAAATGTTCAGGTTACCCACAAAGACACAAGCTTTCCAACTCTCTTTGGCCGTTGGAAAGCGTACCACTTCTACACTCTACAGTCCTGTGTATGGTCTCGTGAATCCGTTCGCGCGAAATTTGCATCTGCAGTGCCGTTCAAACCTGGCGCGAGATACGCACAGAAGTACGTTTGCACGATTTTCTTGACCCGGGTTGATTTCAACCCTTCCCTTGCATTAGGGGGGAGGGTTCTTTTTTTTCTTTTTCTGTTTATTCTTTTTACCAGGCGTGGGCCATCCCCTGGACTATCAAAATCGGTGCCTTATTATTTTTCTGAGTGCAATAAAGAGTTGTGGAGTAAAACAAATAAAAAAAATTGGGAGGAGGGTTGAAATCAACCCGGTGCGAAATTTCAACCCGGGTCAAGCGCAATGCGTCATGTAAACGCGCCATTCATTTTGTGTACTCCCTGGTTTGTACTACCGTACTACTGCCTTCATACATGTATGTGCGATCGCGCGACTTGAAGAAAAATGCGCGCAGAACTCGCAGTCAACCACCTGAAGTCAGCCCCGTATAACCGTCATTTAAACGGTTGAAAACTAAACCCGAGGCGAATATTTCGGAATAAGCACCATATGCACAGTACCAAGAGATTATGGACTCTTGACAGTACCAAGAGTGCATAAACGTGTTTATGCACTCTTGACAGTACTACGGGCTTATTTTTCTCATGCAAATAGGTCCATCAGTGAACGTAGTGTGATAACGGCCTACAAGGCTGGGGTTTTTCTGATGTAAACGGCTCCGTAGAGCATGTGGATGATGGCACGAACTTTCCAGAGATTCGGAATACCTTTGGCATTACTGTTGTTTTCAGGTTTGGCTTACGTAGGGCATTTTACTGGACTCTCTAAAAACGTTGCAAGAATCCCGCGGAGCAGACGAAAAGGCATGTGTGTTGCAGAAATATCAGTGCGTCCAATCAACTTTTCCCTGAATTCCAACAGTGCTATAGGCTATAGCCGAAACATTGCAGTGCAGAAGCCGGCCGCGGACAAGGGGAATGGATCCAATGCTAAAGACTATCGGCAGAGTTCTAAAGCGGAAAAGATCAGTTCTGGTCTGCATGTGAGTCCTAGTATTGCACCTGGAGGCGGATTAGCTGAGGTTACTGTACAGCCGCAGAAGCAGCCCGGTCGCATTCTAGCTGTTGGGTGGTTTACTGATGAGCAGTTGACACAATCAACCATAGGGCTGGCTGATTTCTTATCCCTAGCGGTAGCAGCCCGACGGGACGCAGTCCTGCCAAGCGTCGTTGGCAACCATCTAATGTCCGTGCAAGTGTCTCGTAATGTCCCTCCTCGGTTTCGCAGAGGGCTAAAACCCAGATTGCTGTCGGAATACTTTGATCTCGACAACATCACTAGAACAATGCTGACGAAAGGTGGCTCACACCTCATCAATGCGTTCCAGGCAAGAACACGATGTGCTGGTAAATGGTCTATTTTGTATGTAGTCTCCAACTGGCAGTACCTGAACCCCGTGTGTGAAGCTCAGCCCGATCTGCTGCGGATAGAGAGAGCCATGATGAACAAGTTGCAGTCGGCTGAGCATAGCGAAGATACAGTTGATAATAACTGTACTTGGGTAGAGAAGTGCCTGGATCAGGAGATGCTCAGCCTTGGACCATTCCGCAACACAGTCTGTGTAGGATTTACAAAGAATCGGTGGACAATGGAGAGCTTGGTGTCCCAGTTAGAAGTGTTCAAAAGCAGCGAATGCCTCCTATTGCCGTTCTGGTTAGGCGCTGCACGCCATGGGATAGTTAAAGTGCCCCAGAGTACCTTTAGCGTTCCATTCTCTGCTTTTAAAACTTCTCCTCACCTTCGTCAGCTATCACAGCGATTACTGCGTCTCGGTGGCCTAGGGAGTAACTACACTGCTATCCATGTTCGTATGGAGTATCTTCTAAATGGTTATAAGAGCATCAAAGCCAAGGATAAACTGCAGACTGGAGGACTTGAAAAGTACACACTGAGGTGTTTCAACGTCCTCTTGAAATACCTCAAGGACACTCCCCATAACAACAGCGGCCTCGTTGTCAGTTTTGATCATCACTCCGAATCAAATACAGTCAAGGAGAAAGTACAGGAATTCCGACAAAACCTGCTCCGCGAGCTCCGTGCAATTCTCTTGCGGGTTACTACTGTGGATGAGTTAGTAGAGAAGTATTCATCCCCTGCCGACCAGGATGTCCTGGGAAACCCAGGCATGCGCTCCTTTATCGACACGGAACTGCTGGTGGGCGGGCAGCGGCTTGTGTTGATTGGCGGAGGCACATTTCAAGACAAGCTCTCCATTGAACACATTTCAAGGCGTCCGAATTACGCTAACAACCCACGAACATTTGCCATATGTATATCTCCCTCGCCTCAAATGCCCACTCTTAAGTCATACAGAATCGATAAATCAATAATTAAATTAGTCTGAGAAGCTGCAGCCCTAAGTCGCTGTGCTTACTATTATTATTATTATCATTATTAAAACAAACAAAAGGAGAACAGAGAAAGTGTTTTAACGCTGAGTTTCACGAACTAAGCGATCATAAGAAAACGCAAAACGGTAATGAGTAACTCTGGATCAGTATTGGTTGATATACCCACAAAGCAAAGTGTAAATAGATATCCTTAGCTAAAAAAAACGCTAACGTAAACGCAAACCTTTCCGTACTTCGGATCGTTCAAGCTGACTTTTCCCTTAGCACAAAGTACGTTATAGTTGAGACGTAGTAGTCGTGACAACCATGGCGATATGAATTTTCGTGGAAACAGGTGCGGGAAATTCAAAATTTTGAACCAGGGATTAGTTTGCTGTCGTTCCGAAAGAATACCTTGGCGAGGTCTTTTACTCTGGAATAGCAAAAGCACGGCGAAAATGAGTTTTCGCTGTTCCCAGGTCCTTGGAAACCCTTTCCTAAACGCAGCACCGAACACTGTAAGGGTTCTCCAGCTCCAGCACGTCTGGGAGAGGCCGATGAATTTCTTCCTCAGGAGTGCCGTGGAACTGGTCCTTTGTTTCCCAGATGTGATAGAGGGAGAAAGGCACGAAGCAGAGGACGCAGAAATTGTCAACTGAAAGGCAAAACTCGCCCAAAAAGCTACGTAAATGTCACAAGAGGAAGCAATCTCGACTCTCGATCTCATCTCGATCTGCACGACGTGCTTTTTATCTCCCGCCAGTTACAAAACAATGCGAGTTTTTGCATTTTTTGCAGAATTTCCATAACGAACGTCGGCCCGTTATTTTGAGCTCTGTAACGTTTTCCCGTTATCCGATAACGTCTTTTCTCACGGCTGGGAGTGAGTACCGTAAAAGTTAGCGTTATCGTACTTTTATCGTACGGCGTAAATCTAAAAGTTGTGAATGGCGGCAGTGCAAAGCGTAAATGACTGCATCTTGGAGCAAATCGAAAAGTGCGAATGACAGCAGTTGTGGACGTGCTATCCTTCATGCCCGTCGTGTCAAAAAATGGGAATGATCCCACTTTGGAAAGTGTCTTCAATCATGCCCTACTTTCATAGTATTCTCAGGATTCAAATCATTGGTGTGTCATTATTTAACAAATGTGTAAAATGGCATCACAAACTGAGATATTCGGTCATCAATGTTCTGAAGTTGATAGATATCACTTCAAGGATTGCTGGTAGTGGATGAAAATTAATCTGTCAACTGCATTGTATGCTGCGAAAGCTGTGTTTTTGAATTTGTAACTAGTTGCTGTGTCATACGGTAGAATTGGGATAGCTAGCATCGCATAGCAGCCATGTTTTCGTTCTCACAGAGTGTATTCCGTGACCTACTGTTCTTCATTATTGTCTTCAGTGATGGCAAGACGGCCTGACCTCTTCCAAAGTTAAAATAAACACAACAACAACAAAGGCCCTGCGGAAGCAATTCACTGCCCCCTTCGTCCAATCAGGGGATTATTTTACACATTTTACACAAAATGGCAAAGCACCCACCCCTATTTATACCGACGTGGCAGGGAGAATTAAATTATATGCATCACATTTTCTTGACAATGTTGATCTACGATAAACTGGCTCTCTTTTTGCCACCACCCATGTTTCGATACAGCTATCCGGAGCAGAGAAATAGCCAGAAGAAAAGCAACTTTTACACATCTGTTAATTAAAAAATGCCAAATCACCTCGTACAAGTACCGTAAAATCCCGCCAGAGCGCCCCTACCTCCTCGACGCTTCAGGTGGGGAGGGGCGGATTGGCGAGTCCTACTTGCCGCATTCAGTGCTACCAAGAGTAGATAAACATGGGTTATGTACACTTGGTGTGCACACGCCAGACAGTTTCTTGGGATCGGGAGAGCTTGATTTGACTGAATTTGACTGACACTGCACAAGAGGTAAAATTATTGTTCTTGCTGTGAACTGAAAGAAGACGACGACTAAAGCGCAAGGCGCTTGCGCAGAGCAAAAAAGGCGGAAAAAACATGGAGGAAGTCGCCAAGAGGCGAGTGAGTCAGTAGAAATAATAAACACGCGGCCCCGCTTCGGTGTGGGAACGCGGAAACAAACCGGGGTAGAGAACACAAACTATGACGTGTACTGCAAATAATCTCATGACGTTGAACATCATGTCAACGTCGTGACACTCCCCCGCAAGAGATGCAGAGAAAAGGAGATAATTCGTAACAAAGTAACGTGGAAACAAAACACAATAAGTGCATATATTACGCAAGGGTGAAAGAGAGTAGACCGTCACACACAGAGAGAGAGAGAGAGAGAGAGAGAGAGAGAGAGAGAGAGAGAGAGAGAGAGAGAGAGAGAGAAAGAGAGAGTTCAGATGTGAACTACCAACTGTCTAGCTGATTCAACTAAACAAGTTCGCTGCCAATTAATTGGCGAAGCGTCTGACGTTGCTTCTTAGCGGCAGCACGTTGTGGACGACTGGGTGGAGCAACAGCTGCTGGAACTGGCAGATCGGCTTGGCCAGTGGTGTGTGTGTCCGGAGCGGTGCTGTTGTTGTTAGCCTCGGAGTTAGCAGCAGGACAGATAGGGTACAGGAGAGACAGGGGTCGTTTGAGCTCTGTCTTCTCTGCAGTGATGACGGTTGCGGAACGTATCTCCATGTCCTTGCTTGTATGGAGAGCGACAATGCGACCAAGTCGCCATGAGCCACGGGGCATGTCATCCCTTATTAGTACAACATCGTCAACGGCTGGCTGTTCTGAAGCGGTAACGCGTGCCTGTCGGAGCTTCCGAGTGTGACTGTTGCGGAGATCAGCCAAGTAGTCGTCTCGCCAGACACGCCAGAACTGGTCCAATGTTCGTTGACCCTTCTTCCAGACAGAGAGAAGATTCTGAGCTGCAGTCGGAACTTCGATGTGGTCCGGATCGCCGTCATCAGCAGTGGGTTGCACGCCACCAGTAGTTGCGGACAGGCACAGAAAATGACTTGGGGTGAGTATCTCCTGCAAGTCATTGTCCACGTACACCAGTGGACGCGAGTTGACGACTGCTGACACTTCCATGAGAATGGTAGTCAGTTGCGACACAGTGAGGAGCGCGCGGCCAACGACCTTCTTCAGGCTTCGTTTGACTGTTCCAACGAGACGCTCGTAGAAACCACCCATCCAAGGTGAGATCGGTGGGTTATAGTGCCACTTCACACCAGTCCTCGACATGTACGACAGGACATCATCACTCGTTGCCAATTCTTCAAAGGCCACATCCAGAACAGACTTAGCTAGGATGAATTGTGGCGCGTTGTCAGACACTACCTCTTCAGGGCAACCACGCAACGACACGAACCTGCGGAACGCTAGCAGGAATTCCTCTGTGGTCATGTCTGCCACCAGTTCTAGATGGACAGCTCTAGTTGCCATACATGTCACTAGGAGGACCCATACCTTCTTGGTACTTGGCTGGTGCTTGACGAGCAGAGGACCGAAGTAATCTAGTCCCACATGGGTGAACGGGATAGATCTTGTTGCGCGGGCAGATGGAAGCGGGGCCATATCTGGGGTGCGGTATGGACCACCGTGGTGCTTCCGGCAAGTCAGGCACTTAGTGATGAATGACTTCACTGTTGCACGCCCTCGTGGTAACCAGTACTCGTAACGCAGTCTTGATAGCGTGTGTGCAACGCCGCCATGCATCGTCATCAGGTGACAATCGTTGATGATGAGCTGGGTGATGGGATGCGTTTGGGGAATCAGTACTGGATACTTTGCTTGATAGCAAAGTTCGGCGTTCTCCAAGCGTCCTCTGCATCTGATGAGGCGGTTCTCATCGAGGAAGAGCCGCAGCTTGTCCTTCGGGCTGTGCTTCTTACAATTTTCGACAGCACTGACGTCTGACAGATTCTGTTGTGCATGGTGTAGCCACATGATTTTGGCTACCTTGACCTCTGAGTTACAACTAGAATCCACCCCGAAGGACTTGCCGCCTTGTGGTCTCAACCTGGAGAGAAACCGCAAACACAGAGCAGAAACACGCACTAAGGCACTGAAAGACGAAAACCTGGCACAATCAATACCAAATGGTGGTTCATCACATGTTTTTTTTTTGTTCGTGATGCGCATCAGGCTTTTTTTTCATTTCGTGTGCAAGCTCAGTGTCTGGACCGGTGGACTCTGTTGGGTGTGATACAGGTGCAGGTATCTCCGAAGTGCTTGAAGGACCCTCCCCAGCGGCAACGTTGACATGGTGATCAAGTGCTGGCTCGGCGTGATGGTCAGCAGTGGCAAGGAAGTGTGGACCGTGCCACCATAGCGAGCTGGCTTGAAGGGAAGGAACAGAGACACCGCGTGAAGGTTTTTTTTTTTTTTTTTTTTTTTTTTTTTTTTTTTCAAGAGAGTTGAAATATTGAAATAGTAGTAAAGTTGGGAGAAAAGAAAACTGCTCTTTTTCCACGAGATCCAAGATCTATCAGGAAAAAGGACATGCACAAAATGGCGACTATGTCGTCCATTGACACGTAATCATGGTAATCACAAACTAGTGCAGCGACCAAAGAAAAGACACAAGTGAAGAAGAAGAAACCGCGCTGCAGCAAGAAGATCAAATCGCTGCAGTCGCTAAAATGCACTAGCCTACTGACTGTAGTTCCACGCGAGCATTGTGGTGCACACGCCAGACAGTTTCTTGGGATCGGGAGAGCTTGATTTGACTGAATTTGACTGACACTGCACAAGAGGTAAAATTATTGTTCTTGCTGTGAACTGAAAGAAGACGACGACTAAAGCGCAAGGCGCTTGCGCAGAGCAAAAAAGGCGGAAAAAACATGGAGGAAGTCGCCAAGAGGCGAGTGAGTCAGTAGAAATAATAAACACGCGGCCCCGCTTCGGTGTGGGAACGCGGAAACAAACCGGGGTAGAGAACACAAACTATGACGTGTACTGCAAATAATCTCATGACGTTGAACATCATGTCAACGTCGTGACACTTGGTGCTACATGAAAAAGTACTCACCCTACGAAAACTGTTCATGCATCTCGTACACCGACCAAAGGTCAAGAGCCAGGAGTCGAACAGACCCGACAAAACGCAGGGTTTGTGCGATCCCTGGTCAGGAGGGTGGGCACTGTTGCGTACATTTCCAACGGGGTCGAGCACGCGTCTGCAGTGCAGTACGGCATCACAGACTGCGACAGAGTCATACGATCGACGAGGATACAATCAATCACGTCCCTGACAAGAAGTCAGGGAGGGGCGGATAGGATGGGAGAGACCGGGCGCTCTGGCGGGATTTTACGGTACATGCAAGAGTGCATAAACAAAAACAAACAAAATAAATAAAAAAAGTTTATGGACTCTTGAAGAGTGCATAATATGGACTCTTGGTACATGTACTGTTTTTCGACCACTGGCGGCATGGGCACATGGGCAAGCACGCGGAGACTCTGTACACGCGTATCGCACTGTTGCTATCATCCAAGACCTGCTGCTTGATGTCCTGGCTGAGGTGTAAGCTCTCCTTGCATTCGCTCCTAAGTGGTATGTTTTGAGCGCTTTTGGGTGTTACCATTTTCTTTATTTTGCCCTAAATTATCACCTCTTATGGCCTTCCTGTATACGCTCTCAATTGCATTTCTTTTTTAGTACACTCGTACAAGCAAGAGTATGCGCGGCGCGCTGCCTTTCAAAACGTTTTCAAAACGTTTTCGTTCATCTGCAATGCCGTTCAAACCTGGCGCGAGATACGCACAGAAGTACGTTTGTACGATTTTCTTGACCCGGGTTGATTTCAACCCTCCCCTTGGGCGAAATTTCAACCCGGGTCAGGCGCAATGCGTCATGTAAACGCGCCATTCATTTTGTGCACATGGCGGGTTGAAATCTGACCCGGGTCGAACTCAACCCGGGTTGAAACGCTTCATGTAAACACAGCCTTTAAAAGCTGTGTTCATAACTGGCGCGTGGACGCGGTACGCTTGCGGTTCATGCGCGCCCGCGCGCCCATACGCGCGCTCAAGCTTTCACAAAAAACAGCAACCCGAGTCGTATTCAGCACGTGCGACACCTTCGAGTACTAATTTTTGGACCCCGCCAGTCAAAGTGACTGGCATGTACGCTGGTACGCGCCTGATACGCGCTGAAAATTCCAACATGCTGGAATTTCCATTTCGGCGCGTATCCATACGCATGACGCCCCAAAAGCCAGCAAAAATACGCACAAACGCGTGGTTTCACGCGTACACGCGCCAGTTGTGAACACAGCTTCAGGCTGTGTTTACATGAGAAATTTCAACCCGGGTCGAGTTCAGCCCGGGTTGAAAGTCTGTACGATAGACAAAAGAGGTGAGCGTTTACATGAAGACAGTTGACCAGGGTCAAATACTGATATGCCGCCAAAAGTCCACTTCTACAGTCCTGTATGGTCACGTGAATCCGTTCGCGCGAAATTTGCATCTGCAGTGCCGTTCAAACCTGGAGCGAGATACGCACAGAAGTACGTTTGTACGATTTTCTTGACCCGGGTTGATTTCAACCCTCCCCTTGGGGGGAGGGTTGAAATCAACCCGGGGCGAAATTTCAACCCGGGTCAAGCGCAATGCGTCATGTAAACGCGCAATTCATTTTATGCACATGGCGGGTTGAAATCTGACCCGGGTTGAAACGCCTCATGTAAACACCGCCTTATAGGCGATTCACACGACAGGCAAATCCACGTTTACAGGAAAGTCACCATGGAGATATTCCTGCGGGTGATCAAAATTTGCCCGCGGGAATCAAAAGTGTCCATGGCCTTTTTGCCCGCGGATGCACTCATCTGCGGGCACTTTTACATTTATGAGGCTGTGAGGTCGTACTATGGTACGGTAGTCTTGAACCCTAGATGTTTGGCCTTTGTTTTTGGGTACTCATTCCAAATCACCACAGTAACGCCGTATTCTCACCGGATACTCGCGGGAGCTCTGGCCACCACCCGCGGCCGTGTGAACTGCGGCCTCACGTTTCACTTCCTGCGGGCACTTGACAAACATACAGTGCATTTCAAAACTATAGACGCGTAGGGTTTTTGAAATATTTCAAATTTGGCTGGAACTTTTTGAGAATAGTTTTCGGAATATTGCTCAGGATCGCTCCACAATTACTCTCATATAGTTTCTAAAGGATTGGATAACAGACGCCCAATTTGGAAAAATTTATGCACAAAGTGATCACAGATTTTATGTGGTATAGATGCTGGCATAACGGTTTTTGCCTAGGTACGCGTCTATAGTTTTGAAATGGACTGAAGCCGGAGCATCTTCAGGAAGCAGAATCCCTGTTTGCTGACACGGCAGTCCAGATTCGCACGGATGGCTGGCGGCATCTCGGTGCAGTACTTGGGTCTCCCGAATTCTGCAAGCAATATGTCACAGAGAAGGTAGAGACATGGGCGCTAGAGGTTGGACGACTGGCTGACTTCGCCACCACTCAGCCACAAGCGGCATACGCTGCTTTTATTCATGGCCTCCGCCACAAGTGGTCGTTTGTGGCCCGGACGGTCCCAGGCATCAGCGGACTGCTAGACCCGCTGGAGCACTCCATCCGACAGCGGTTCATCCCTGCTCTAACCAGTCGCCCCGCACCTGGTGACGAAGAGCGCGCCATACTGTCCCTCCCGTGTCGAGAAGGTGGTCTTGGTCTCATTGACCCGAGGTCTTTGACGGACCAATACAATATGTCTGTCGCTGTCACCAACATCCTCGTGAGCCGGATACTGGACCAAGACACCAACATGGACGAAGTGCCCACCACCATCCATGCTGCCAAGCTAACTGCAGCAGCAGCAACCAGGAGAGCCTCTCGAGACCAAGCCAGTCAGCTCCTGGCCACATGTGATGTGCCCACCCAGCGAACCCTGGGGATGGCGGCCGAGAAAGGAGCGTCCAACTGGCTCACTTGCCGGCCCCTGAAGCAGTTCGGGTTTGTCCTCCACAAAGGCGCCTTCAGAGACGCACTCTGTCTGCGGTTCGGCTGGGTCCCTCCCCGCCTGCCATCCACTTGTGTGTGTGGCAAGGCATTTAACACCAGCCATGCTCTTTCGTGCCCAACTGGTGGATACCCGGCTCTCCGTCATAACACGATCCGCGACCTGACAGCCGACCTACTGCGTGAAGTGGCAACGGATGTGAAGATAGAACCTCCTCTGCAGCCCCTGGAAGGTGAAAGGCTCCGGTATCGCTCTGCCATCTTGGAAGATGGTGCTCGTCTTGATGTGGCGGCATCTGGTGTCTGGGGAAGTCGTTTTGAGCGCACGTTCTGTGATGTTCGGGTTTTTAACCCTCATGCGCGCTCGAACACTTCCTCAACTCCCGCGTCCACCTATGCCAAGCACGAACAGCAGAAGAGAAGGGCCTACGAAGAACGCGTCAGGGAGGTGGAGCATGCTTCCTTTCTCCCACTGGTATTCAGTGCATCTGGTGGGTGCGGCAAGGTAGCCCACGCTTTCCTGAAGCGTCTTGGCCATATGGTTTCGGAGAAGCGGCATGAACCCTACTCCTCCGTCATGTCCTGGATCCGCTCTCTTGTCTCCTTTGCTTTGGTTCGATCCTGCAACATGAGCCTCCGTGGTCACCGTGCTTCTCCCTACCGCAGTCGTTTGGATGCTGCCACTCCTGTTGTGCTGGCAGTCAACGACTGTCAGTTGCGTGACTGAGACTCTTGCGGAGTAGCCGTGTCTAGCCACACTTTTATTATCCGATGATTTTGTTTTGTTTGCTATGATTCCGTGATTTTCTGTTGGTTGCTTTTCTGCTGTGCGAATAAATGCAGTGTGAATGGTATTGTAAAAAAAAAAAAAAAAAAGGGCGCGCTCACACTGCGACCATGAGCACGCGTCCATGCGTCAGCAAAACGCAGAAACGTGGGAGTCGAGCTCACACTAGGCCTCGTACACGCGTAGACGTGAAGTTGTCACACAAACTTTACGAATTGCAGTTCGTATCCAAAAGAGTTCGTGCGTTTCCTAATAAAGTTGTGGCCCGTTTTGGATGTAATTTTTCGCATGTTGCATGTTGGAGGAAGTGCCTCGTGGCTCCTGGCTCGTATTCTTGATCGAGTCGGCGAAAATAATTCGTTACAATCAGGTAGGTTTGGACTCTTTAGGGACTGCGGCTGACATCCAAGCGCTTTCGCTTTCCTGACCTCGTGGTCAGAGCAAGTGCCAGTGCAGTGGAAATTCCGGTAGTGGTTTCTTTCGTCTGTTGCCGAGATGAGAACTGTATTTTCCGGTGTAACTGAAATGTCTTGAGGTATGGCATTCCATCATCGCAGAAAAGTAGAGAAAGATGATTTCCGAAACCGAAAAGCCAGACCAAGCTGCCATCGTATTGAACGAGTACACTGTAGAAATTGGTCACTGACCCGATTACAACGAAGCAACTACAAAAACAAAAACAAAATCGACATCGTCCAAAAAGGGCAAAGAATGCATATATGGCGGTGCGTGCGTGCAGGACCACAACTACAAAATAATTAATTTTAAAAATGTGCAAATGTCGAGGTGACATCGACAACCGCCGATTTTCATGAATCAACACACCAGAATTTGAGAAATTGAACATACTTCAGGCCAGGTTGTACACAAATACGCTTCACGTCTACGATCATGTTGCCGCCAAGTCGTGGCACCCCCCTCCGGGGGTCGCGGTCACGATTTGAAACGTGGCCGCGACGTTTTGGTCAAGTTCATGCCGTTGCCATGCAACTTGGCCGCATGGCAACGGCATGAACTTGACCAAAACGTCGCGGTCACGTTTCAAGTCGTGACCGCGACCTCCGGAGGGGGGTGCCACGACTTGGCGGCAAAATGATCGTAGACGTGAAGCGTATTTGCGTACAACCTGGCCTGAAGTATGTTCAATTTCTCAAATTCCGGTGTGTTGATTCATGAAACTCGGCGGTTAACTCGATGTCATCCTCGACATTTGCACATTTTTAAAATTTTGCAGTTGTGGTCTTGCACGCACGCACCGCCATATATGCATTCTTTGCCCTTTTTGGACGATGCCAATTTTGTTTTTGTTTTTGTAGTTACTTCGTTGTCAGTTGATCAGGTCAGTGACCAAATTCTACAGTGCACTCGTTCAATACGATGGCAGCTTGGTCTGGCTTTTCGGTTTGGGAAATCATCTTTCTCTACTTTTCTGCGATGATGGAATGCCATACCTCAGGACATTTCAGTTACATATCATCGGAAAATACAGTTCTCATCTCGGCAACAGACGAAAGAAACCACTACCGGAATTTCCACTGCACTGGCACTTGCTCTGACCACGAGGTCAGGAAATCGAAAGCGCTTGGCTATCAGCAGCAGTCGCTCAAGAGTCCAAACCTACCTGAATTATTTTCGTCGACTTCAAGAATACGAGCCACGAGGCACTTCCTCCAACGCATATGCAACATGCGAAAAACTACATCCAAAACGGGCCACAACTTTATTAGGAAACGCACGAACTCTTTTGGATACGAACTGCAAATCGTAAAGTTTGTGTGACAACTTCACGTCTACGCGTGTACGAGTCCTAGTGTGAGCACGACTGCCACGTTTCTGCGTTTTGCTGACGCATGGACGCGTGCTCATGGTCGCAGTGTGAGCGCGCCCTAAGAACGATTGGAAACGGAGCGCGGGCAGGGAAACCATTCCGCGCGGGACCAACCAACTGCGCGCCCACCAACACGTGCCAACTCCAATGATCGATGCGTCTCCGCACATGTGCACACATAGTACTCACATGGTACTCGCGTGCGAGGTACATGTATGCGATGCGAACTCGCGAAAAACCATGATACATGTAACAGCAGGTACTGCTCCCTGATTCACAGAAGAAGTCAGTGATGTGACGACGATTTGCAGATTCGGCGCGAATTTCAATGCAGGCAACATTAACTGGCAACTCTTGAACCTTTGTGCAACTATTAACAACGCAAAAGTATCAGGCCTGGTCAGACTCCAGCAAATTTTGGGTGCGAAAGGCTTATCTATTTTTGCGGATTTTCTTTCATAACAAATAAACGTCACAGGCTGCTCTTCGTAGGTGTACGTGTCCGCGTCCCAGCGGTCCGGGCAAGCGACCGCATCTCCTTTTTTTTTTTTTTTTTTTTTACACGGAAAACTGAGCCTCTTGTACGGGCAAAATAACACATTTTGTGAAGAATCAACACATATATAAAAACGAATCATCATATACAGTATTTACAGAGTCTGTCACTCAATAGGATCACTGCACTGTGCAGGTTCACTGGATGCGTGCCTCCGCCGCCACTAGCACAGCAGGGGACTCAGGCATGGCAGGAGCAAACATGCTCCTTGAGCCACGCAGGCACATAGCACCACAACGCACCAGGGCAAACCCAAGGCGGCAGCGCAGCAAGGAGATAACCTGCCCGTATGGCTCCTTACTCTTCTCAGCCAGGAGAGAGGCGATCCGCTTGAAAAGAGCATTGGCATGCTTGCCATAGCCACCAGAGGCAGAGAGCACAACGGGCACGAAGGAGGCATGCTCAACTTCACGTACTCGCTCCTCGTACTTCCGGCGCTTTTCCTGTTCATGGCGTCTGTAGCTACAAGCAGCGAGGGAGGTGGCACGATTCGAAGCATCTCATTGGACACTTGGCCTTTGCACTGGAATCTGTGGGAGAGCCTTGCCAGGGGCTACACACGTGACCTGGGTACCGGTAATGGACAAATCCTGGTGTCGCTCCTTTTTACCAGGGAGTACATGTAGTACAACACAATACACTCGTATTGTACTACTCCCTGCTTTCTACAGTATTTGTTGTTGCTGAGGCTGTGTTTACATGAAGCGTTTCAGCCCGGGTTGAGTTCGACCCAGGTCAGATTTCAACCCGCCATGTACACAAAGTGAATGGCGCGTTTACATGACGCATTGCGCTTGACCCGGGTTGAAATGTCGCCCCGGGTTGATTTCAACCCTCCGGCCTCCCCTCAAGGGAACTTTACTTCTGTGCGTATCTCGCGCCAGGTTTGAACAGCACTGCAGAATAGTGCAGATGCAAATTTCGCGCGAACGGATTCACGTGACCATACAGGACTGTAGAAGTGGACCTTTGGCGGCATATCAGTATTTGACCCAGGTCAACTGTCTTCATATAAACGCTCACCTCTTTTGTCTATCGTACAGACTTTCAACCCGGGCTGAACTCGACCCGGGTTGGAAATTCTCATGTAAACACAGCCTCAGGGCCAGGCAATGTTGCTGGATGGAAAGCTTTCTGTTCCCGCCAGCGCCTTTGCTCTACAATTGTAGTAAAACATTGCACAAGTTGAAGGGAAGCTGGGTTTCTTGCCATTTCCAACTTCCTGACTCTGAAAATGTAGCTTGAACTAAGAGCTCCAAGTATTTTAGTTTTTCGATGTGCCAGGCCTTTACGAGCTGCAGAGATGAGGAGCAAGGGAAGCGTTGGATTAATGCCAATAATGGTGTTTATGGCCCGGAAGACGCCAGCGGTTTTCACTTGTCAGGAGGACAGCCAAGTTGGAGCAGGCAGATGACAGATTATTTGTTATTTTGAGCACTAGCAGAGTGGGTGGCTTGCCAAAGAGAATCGTCTCAGTACCTCATGGTTACTAGTATCTGACAAATGCC